GCTGTTGCATTCGGTGCTGCTGTCCAGGCCGGAGTCCTTTCCGGTGAGGAGGGTACTTCTGGTGTTGTCCTCATGGATGTTAACCCCTTGACCCTTGGTATCGAGACCACCGGTGGAGTCATGACTAAGCTGATTCCCCGTAACACCGCTATCCCTACCCGCAAGAGCCAAATCTTCTCTACCGCTGCTGATAACCAGCCCGTGGTCTTGATCCAAGTCTTTGAGGGTGAGCGATCTCTTACCAAGGATAACAACATCCTCGGCAAGTTCGAGCTTACCGGTATTCCTCCTGCTCCTCGCGGCGTGCCTCAGATCGAGGTCTCTTTCGAGCTCGACGCCAACGGTATCCTCAAGGTCTCTGCCCACGATAAGGGCACCGGCAAGCAGGAGTCCATCACTATCACCAACGACAAGGGACGCCTTACCCCTGAGGAGATCGAGCGCATGGTCGCTGAGGCTGAGAAGTACGCCGAGGAGGACAAGGCTACCCGTGAGCGTATTGAGGCCCGAAACGGCCTTGAGAACTACGCTTTCTCCCTCAAGAACCAGGTCAACGACGAGGAGGGTCTCGGTGGCAAGATTGAGGAGGAGGACAAGGAGACTGTAAGTTCTTCCACTGCTCACACTAGAAATGCATATACTAACTTTTACAGATCCTCGAGGCTGTTAAGGAGACCAACGAGTGGCTCGATGAGCACGGTGCTGACGCTACCGCTGAGGACTTCGAGGAACAGAAGGAGAAGCTTTCCAACGTCGCTTACCCTATCACCTCCAAGATGTACCAGGGCGCCGGTGGCGCTGGTGCCGAGCAGGATGACAACATCCATGATGAGCTTTAAATGCATAGACTGACATTTGGGAAAAGAACATAAATGAACTCCTTATTTCGGTGTTTGGTTGGAGCTGGGATGCGCAGGATGTAAAGTAGATAGCGCAATATCATGATTTTCAGCCAACCTCAAGTCCTGTCTGTGTTGAGTAACAATCGTGTGCGCCTAGTTCATCCATGCTGAATGAATCCCAGTGAATGACAGGTTTATCAATACAACCTTTGGCGGGTCAAAGGGCGACACGGTGTAAAGCTAAATGGCCCTTGAAGGGTCTCTTCACTTTCGATCTAGCCTACAAGTAGTATGATGTTTGGCTTGGCCTTTACCATGACTCTTCCCTTTGTCGTTTATAGGTCTCCTGGCTTATCCGTAATGAGACAGTACCCCATAGGGCTTTGTTGAAGAATTGAGGGAGCCTTTGACCTCAGCACTGAGTATCATAGCCAAAATTCTTAGCTAAGTAGGCAGTGCTCATATTGATACGCCTAGGTATCTACTTACGGAGTAGTGAATCACATATTGGCCAAAACTTTTGGTGAAGAACCTTAATTATCCCTGGAGTGATCATGGTGTATTAAACATGAGAGGATCTAACATCGCCAGAGCACATTGTGTTTATGAAGGATTCGCGCATCAAGTCTTACGATTTTATTTACCTTATTCACCGATTATATCTTTGCAGATATGAGTTTCTGTTACGTGCTGCTGTGCTTGTGAAGGGTCCACGGTGTCACTGGACGAACAGGGCAGTGCCAGGCACGTTAACAATAGCAAAACGACGCATGATTGTATTGACAGTGTTTCTCTATTGCTGCCTTTTCTCGATAACGCATTCTTGATGCATTTGTTTTTCTTCCGCACAACTGTAACCTTGTTTTGTATTGAATCATTGAATCAAACACCACACAAACACGGCTTCGAAGGGATCTCCTAAGAATCATTTTGATAACTTACCATATACAATCCTGATGATGGCGATCCCAGGTAACGACTTCATGAAGTCGCTAGAAGATCTTTTCTCCGAGGCTGGCGCGAAGGGCCGTGACGCGAACGCTGAGTTTGTACACCTGCGTAGCAGCCTCATCGACTTCATCGAATCCATCGCAATTGCCAGCGGCCAAGGTTTGACTGCCGCCAGAACCCGAGCGAAATATAAAACCAAGTTCACTGATGGAACTGAACCCGAGACGCACGTTGACTTCTTCCCACCGAACCACGATATTACTGAGAAGCGCCCTCAGCTGGATGCCGCAACCACTGCCGAGGAGTTTATTGAGATCATCGGCACTGTCTTCAGTGAACAGAAGACCCGAAATCGCAAAAAGAAGAAATCCAATAGAAAGAGATCCAATGCCACTCCGCCGGAAAGCCCCATGAACAACACCCAGAAACGCCTCGAGGCAGAGGCTGCGAACAAGACTCTGTCAACAGCTGATGACAGCCCAAGAAAACGGATCAAGCTTAACACAAGCAAGAGCAAAGGCGGCGTCTCCGAACCTGCAGTTTTCAGCACTGCACATCAGTCGAAAGATAATACTCCCACCCAGTTTCCCAGTCCTGAGGATACGGTCAACGATAACGGCGGCAGTGTGCTGGGCCCTATGGAGATTGATTCTGGCGTTACCTCGTCTCAAGACAGAGGAGAAGAGATGAACGGGGAGCATAGCACAGCTGAGGGGCAAAAACACCATGAATCTGCTCCCGAGAGGCGCTCACAAGATCGAGAAGATACGCACATGAACGATGCCGACACCGAGACTTTACCTGCATATTGCAGGTCGGATATTCTCGAAGTTGTCGCAGCCGTGAAGGGCATCGAAGAGCAACAGTGGAAAGATTTCAAACCAAAGCTGCTCGAGATGCTAGGTCACATGCACCAGGAGCCAACATCTGAACAGCATGAAAGGGCACTGAAGCGTCTAAGTATAGCAATTGCCCAGACGGAGCAAGAGAGGTCTCTTATCCCCGTCGAAGCCTGGAAGAAGTACGAGGAAAAGCTTACAGATGAAACGAAGAAGGGATTGTTTGATTGCCTGTGGTCTAGGAGGCTCTTCAAGGTCGGCAAGATCATTTATCTACCAGAGGAAGAGGTTGCCATGGAGAGCCAGTGCTGGGAGCGCCTCAAGGCCTCAGCCCGCATATGTGCGATCCTGATCGAAATGACTGCCAAACCAGAGGAACAGGACTACCAGAGGGATACCGACACGTGGCTTATTGAGAAACTTGGAGATATCAGCTTTCTGGAGAAACTGTTTGCATGCAAGGACCGACTTGGGGCGGTCTGGGGACCAGGGGCAGATTGAGTGATATGGAGACACTGGCGACAGGAAGCAGAGCCTGGATATAAGAGAAGCCAAACTTGTCGTTGAGATGGCGTGTCATTTGGTTCTAGGAAACTCGATCAGATATGCCTTATATGATATAACAGCAGAGGTCATGCATTATGCCGAAAACGAAGACGATATAATGTCTCAATTGAAAAATTGCTTGTTTGAAGTTTCGAATGACTTTTATACTTTTATTGGCAGAGACACAAAAATCTATCTGTGCTTCAACCGTGGTTGCTCCCGTCGGTCATTGACATGTTCAAAAACGAGTCCACCAGACGGACGCATTCTACTATTGACACGTGACTCTTCCATTTACTCACGTGAACCCGCGTCTCGACTCGCGTCGGCAGGCGCGACAATGAGAATGACGACATGACCTTCCTTTCTTTACTCAAGAATATCTATTGACACCATTAGTGGGACTGTCTGCCATTCAACTCTTTTATTGCCAGAATCACCGCCTTTGCAATATGCCACCTCGAAAACGTCCCGCAGAGGAAATCACCAGCAGTCGGCGAAGCTCGAGGAGAGTCTCCACCACTAAAAGTCAATACTTCGAAGGCAGTGAGGATACAGAAGAGAGTGATGCGCCACCACCAAAGAACCGTGGAAGACCTCCAAAGAAGCAGCCTAAAAAAGAAGAATCCGAGGAACCCTATGAAGATGAGCTAGCGCAGGAGCCAGAAGAAGAAGAGGATGAAGATGATGAAGATGACGAGGATGCGCCCCCCAAAGTTACCATCATTCCATTGGAGAAGTTGAGAGACACAGATGGTGTAGAGTATGAAGATTTCAAATTACACAAGAATACCATGTTATTCTTGCGAGACCTCAAAGCCCATAACCAGAGACCTTGGCTGAAGTGTAAGAAGCCATCCTTCACCTGCTGCCAAATCATTACTGACATGTCTAGCGCATGACGGAGAATACCGTCGCGCTTTGAAGGATTGGAACTCCTTTGTTGAGTGCGCATCCGAAACCGTTATAGCAGCCGATGAAACGATCCCTGAGCTTCCCATCAAAGACGTCATTTTTCGAATCCATAGAGACATTCGCTTCAGTAAAGACCCTACACCATACAAGGTACGAGCTCCAATTGACCAAAAAATCGTATGGAAAGCTAAAATTATAGCCTCACTTCTCCGCTGCTTGGTCTCGAACTGGTCGCAAAGGCCCGTACGCCTGTTACTATATCCACTGCGAGCCTAAAAGGTCTTTCATCGGTGGTGGATTATGGTGTCCCAGCGGCGACCAAATGCAGAAACTCCGCGCAAGCATTGACGAACGACCAAATCGATGGCGCCGCGCACTCAATGACGAGGCTTTCAAGCGCATATTCTTACCAAAAGCTGCCAAAAAATCCGATCCCAATGCGGCGCTACTTGCTTTTGCAGAAAAGAACAAAGAGAATGCGCTGAAAACTAAGCCAAAAGGCTTTACGGCAGAACATCGTGATATTGCGCTGCTCAAGTTGAGGAACTTTACTGTCGGAACACAGATAGACGACAATATCTTCTACCAGGATGATGCGCAAGAAAAGATCAGCGAGATTATACGTCCCATGGTTGGATATGTAAGTTGTGTGTTAACTTCATTGCTGAACATGCTGATAGGTTTAGGTTTCATTTTTGAATAGCATTGTGATGCCGGATCCTGGGCAAGATGATGATAGTGATGAAGAGGAGGATGAAGGAGAGGAAGAATCAAACGATGACGAAGACAGTAGCGAGGACTAGTCAAAACTCATGGCTATGGTACCCATTCGATAAAATCTATGTTTAGGGATGATGCAAGCGGATCTAACTGCCTATTTACATAATCATATGCTTTATCATTTCATCTAACACAGATCAAACATAGCAACGCTAGGGTCGTGATCGCTGACCTCACCAGCCGTATTCTGCCAGGTGTTGATATGCAGATGCTCATACTTGAGGCTCCTGCGCAACTCTTTGCTGATATACATATGATCCAGAGCCTGGCAGTTGCTGTCAAAGAGATATGTGTATCGCTCTGTCTCAGGGATCTTGGCAGCCTCATCAACATCAACAAGACCGGATGTCTGGACGAAAGTCTGAAGGGGTGTAACAGCGGCAAATTCGTTAAAGTCACCAGCGGCAATAACGTGGGCCTTTTTGTCCTTCTTGAGGATCTCTGCAATAAAGTTCTACAAGTTGTCAGCTGGGTTTTATGCATAATGGTCTTCATACTTACAGCTGTAATTTCGGATTGCTTGGTGCGTTTCTCGACACCCTTGTTCACAGGAGTGCGAGCATCGCCATGCAGGGAAGTCGAGCCACCCTTGCTACCAAAGTGGACGTTGACAGTAAAGAAAGACTTCTTTGTACCCTTGACAGGCTTCCACTCAGCTACGAGAGGCTTGCGGCTGTCATCCCAGGCAGGGTTGGCAGGGTCAATTCGTCCAGGGTTGTACTTGAGCGAGGGACCATCGACGACGGCGTTGACGTCGTTAGGTCCACCTTGATTAGGCTTGACGAGCTCAACTCTATCAGGACGGTAGAGATAAGCTTGGCGAATGTTACCGCCGGGCTGACCACCATCCTCGTTGTTGTCAGGCTCCACCTCAGCCCATTCGTAAACAACACCGCTGGACTCCTCAATACCGTCGGCCAAGGCAGCGAGAGTCTGATTGGCGGACACGACACCATCATTGGTAGCGCCGCTGTTGTCCTGAACTTCCTGGAGGAAAAGCAGGTCAGGAGTTCGCAGCTTCTCAACGATCTGCTTGATGACAAGGGGCAAGTGAGCAGAAGCAGGGTTGAGGTTCTCGGTGTTGTAGTCTGCAACTGTGATGCCCTTGCAAGAGCCCTTGCTGGTGAAGCTGACGGCAGGGTGCTCGGCGTTGGAAGGCTTGCTGACCTTGGTAGCAGTCAGAGGAAGAATGCGATAGAAGCCAAAGGCGTATGAGACCACGCCAGTGATATCGCCAACGTAGTCGCCGAGCTTAGTGTCACCAGGGTTCTTGGTGCCATCGAGAGGCGAGCCGATGATGATGGCCTCGGGGTTAGCATCTAGATTGTTAGCCAAGGAAGCACTTCAGAAAGAAGTTTCACATACCGTTGCCGACCATGGTAAGACCACCGTGCTTGTTCAGACCAGAAACCTTCCAGTTGCCCCTGACCCAGAAATCGCCAAAGTTGTTGGGTCGGCTGAGAGCATACGCCTTAGGGACAGTGACAAGCTCACCAACAAGACTCTCCCAAAAGTCAAGACCGTATGTGTTAGGCTGTAGCTTGGGGTTGGACACCGAGATGAGAGACTCGTTGTTGGGAACAGCAAAAACATTGCCGTCATCAAGCTTGGAGAATTGCTTGCCAGGAGGGTTACCGGTGTCCTTGCCAATAACCTTGGGCTTGAATTTGTTGTCAGAGGACTTAACAACAATGTTTCTGGGAGAAGAGATCTCAGTGAGATAGACATAGTCTTTGTTGGACCTGACGATGTTAGCAATGCTTCATGCCTGACTTGACGAAACTCGCCTGTACTCCTCAACGAGACCATCGAGGGTGATGACATCTCCCACAGAGACGCTGCTCACAGCCGATTTTCCAAAGATGTACAGTCCCTCAGAAGTAGCAGAGCTACGGTCAGGCTTTGTTGATCGCAGGAAAAAGCCAGAGCTGCCAACAGCCGTGACAAGGCCCTCTACACCAGTGACATTCTTGCCAGCGTAGGAAGAGAGATAGCTGTTGCCATTGATCTCAGCAATGGTCAACGCCGCAGCCAGAGGGCTGATGAGGGAAGAGACGAGGAATTGGAGCTTCATGATGAAGATGAGTCGAGAAACACTTGAACTGCCCTGCTCTCAAAAAATGATCGACAGGGCCACGCTCAGCTATTTGTATTCACGATAGCCTCCAAGACTCTGGGTTACCTACCTATCCTGGATCTACACACCAATTTGGCCCCGGCGCAAAAGACCCAAAAGGTCACCGAAAGCGATTCCGCGTTGAGTTCTCTCCCCTTGGCAAAAGGTCTATCCCTATAATTTGCCATGGCCATAACCGTCCAGTATCGCCGCCAAGCCTCCAAATGCCCTATCGATCTGGCACGTTTATCTATGCGCCAAATCGGACGTGGCCAGTCAGCGTCGATTGTGCGACCGCGGGGGGGTTGACGCTTTGCCCTTTTTTGCAGGTCCCTTTTGTAGCTTTGGAGGCCTTGTTGCTCTTTCGTCTTGGCCCCTGTAAATCATCAACAGATTGGAAACACTCATTGGTTGACTTTGCCCTCGTGCAATCTTGCGAGAGAAAGAAGGAGCCGGAGATATTGTCTCAGGAAGCTATCTTCCGTCCGTTAAAGGACGGAAGACTTGGCGATTCATAGAATTGCGGCAGTTGATTTTATCATTCGTCCAATCGAAATCATTCAGGTTTCAGGTGACAGCCATTAGAAAACAATAAATTGTGTTATTGGTCCCAGTGATGTGAACGGGTATATATCTTGCAAAAACTCCATATGTCGGCTACCCGACTGGTTCTCTATAAAATCATGGCTTGCCAACAAGCTTAAACTTAAGGCTCTTTTTAAACCAAGGCAACAAAGACTATCGAAGCGGGCCGAGGTAACTCCAATTAAAGACCTACAATTCGTCCTCAATCTCGAGGACACGTGCATATCAACAATCGGAGACCTCCGACGAAGCCGGCGAGTTGCTAGGCATGGATAGTAACAGATTGGAGCCAAGATAGCGGGATGCCCCGTCTTTGTATGCCTCAATTGATGGAAATATCTCCGCTCAAAAGTGCGCTCTATCCAACCGCTGATACAAAGCAGGTTGCGTCAAGAGCGACGTCCTGTCATTAAGGAAAGTGAAAAGTCCACCTCCTCATCACTACGCCTTCTGAATTCCGCACTCGATGCATTTAGGACAACTCAACCATTGTGGTCCATTGCGATGACTAACATTGGTCCTTTGACCCTGAAAATCGCAACGACTCAAACATCAGATCAGAAGCTGTTCTCGCTCATAGCCTGGGCTCTGGTCTTTATGTCGTGAGCTCTCGATGATTCCGTTACCGTGCTCAAAGCTCGGCAGCTGTATCGGGATCGATGTCTGGGTGGGTACTGGTTCTGTCGCTTACCGCCAGGGCAGAAACAATCAACCAGTGCTGGTGCCGGCATCGGGCCCATTCGTAATGGCGTTCTCTTTGCCCTTCGAGTCAGGCATATCGAGATCGCGGTAAAGATTATTTTCGAAAATGTAGCTGACTACAAGATCAGGAATCAAGTAGTCAATCGACATGTTGCGTTTGAGCAATAGGCGAATTTTGGTGCTACTGATGTCATTGGTAACGACCTGTACTATGGTTAGTATCACAATACTGAGGCAATGACTCGAACAACATACCTGACGAATTATGTGAATATTCTTCTCCCATTGCTTCAAGTTTGCCAGGGTTGAATCAATTTCAGTTCCTGTACGCTCCAAAGCAAAAACGCCATAGTTGCCCAGGATGTGGTCAAGGTCACGCTCGTCCCACACACCAGGAGTCGACATGGTCTGGATGAGATCGAGGCCAGCAAGAAGTACAATGCGGCAGCGCTTTCGAGTTCCGTCAGTGCATTCAACACCGCCCATGACCTCATTGATCTCATAGTCAAAGTGATCAAGCACTTTGGCCGTTGGGATATAAGTTGGGCTCTCAGCTTCCCAGGGGTCTACCATTAGCCACTTGGAGCTATTTTCGGTCGCAAGCCTACACATCTCAATCCGATGATGAGCAGGAGCTAGGCCCTTCTTTTTGTAGGCATCGCTGACTGATATCCCGTTAGTTCAGGGTATGTTTCCTATGGTAGGATTTACACTTACCAGGACTCAAAAAACCTGCAACAACTTCGAAATCTGATAATGTCAGCGATGCTTCAGAAGCAATGAGCGCGCAACCTACTCTCATTGTGAGCATGGTCCCGAGCCATGGGGAACATCCGAAGACTGCTCAAAAGTTAGAGAATGTTTGTACAAATATTGACAAATTTCATCATTGCCCATTTATCGAGAGCATCGACTTTGATCGGATGATCTGTCAAAAAGAGCCATAATCATCAGGGTAAGCTTACTGGAGATACGTGATTGGGCTGAAAGAGCCGCAAGCAACGAGACATAGCGGCGTTTTGTCTGGAGGACATGATCGTTGGAAGCGGTGCGAGGGAAAGACGTAACCTTCCTTCGTGTGCTCCTTGACGTATTGGTAGTCGCAAGCCATTTTGACTATTGTTGTGTAGTTGATATCGGTTTCTGAGATGAGAGCGGCGGGTTGAGCGGAAACGAGGGGTTTCGCGATCCGATGAGCAACAGCGGCCGGCGCCGGTAGTTGACGGCGAACGGAAGCGAGGGGCACGGCAGTATCGGCGCAGAGACCGAATTACGACCGACTCGTTGAAAATGGGCAGATCCAAGCCAGATGCGGTGATTGAAGTCGTCGGGGCTTTCAGGAGATGATCGAAATAGAGATGTGGCAACTTTGCGATTGTTGTTGACTTAATACTGCGCAAGTCTGGCGAAATGGATAGGCGGATGGCGACGGCGGGGGTTCCGAAATCAGCAAGTATTGCACGTATTATGATGATACAGTAAGAGTTTCGCAGGTATTATCGCTTATTGGGATGAGGCTGTTGGCGTGTAAAGAGGAGTCGTGTAAGTGAGTGAGAGTGTTCGCCTGGGCGGGAATAGAGAAGAAGATGGAAGTGGGAAGTTAAAGTAGAAATAGAAGAAAGAAGGTTTTCCTTACGGCCCTTCTGCGAGAATTGGATTCAAATCTCCAGGCAGGGCAGGCAGGCAGGCATAGGTAGGCAAAAGATGGTGGGTGAGTGCTGGGCTGCGCGTGCACCGAGATCCATTGCCTTAGCAAGGGAAAATGTGGGACTACAGAGGGAATAGGCTCCTGCGCTGAGCATTCTGGTAGGTCAGATTCAGGCCTGCTAAAGAATCCGAACCTAGCCATTCGAACACCCCAGTCACCAATCTTGGACATTAACTCAACTGAACCCATGGGAGGTACAGAGTCACCCACAAAATACGAAAGTCCAGGCCTTTGACGCACCATTCGCACGCCATCGACCTCAGCGGAGTGCAACAAAGCCACTGTTTTTGTTATGTTCCATTTGTTTTGCTTTGGTTGTTGAAGATTTTACACCTGGTAGCTCCTGGAATGGTTAGTGTCCCCCATTGGCTCGCTCCCAATTCCCATCACCTACAATGCTGGAGACGTCCAATTATGCCACGATTCCCTTACCACCGATCTCTGGGAGGTTTTCTTTCTCTCTAATCTTCACCCATGCTTGGCCTTGCTCGCTTCAAGGGAACTCTTGATTACTCACTAAATCATTCACGTTCTAACTCTTAGTGGCGGGGTATGACGACGGCGATCTGAGCCACTCCACCAAGCCGGCTCGAGGGAACGTGATACAGGGACAGAGGGACATCAGTAGCAGCATGAACCTAAGCTCTACGGTAGCACCAATAGGTTCCCTGTAAAGTTGCATTGTCGGCCTTGGTCTGTCTTGAAACCGAAGCTCATCGAATTGGTCTCTGGAGCTGTGCTGCTGCGGGTAGCTCTCAATAGCCCAGGTAAACCAATATGGTTATCAACCGTATAACGACAAATCATAATTTCTGTAAATTCTCAGCTTGCAGACCAAACTCAAAGCAAGATATCTCGGCTTGCTTGGTGATCTGCTCCATTTACAACTGACGGAATTTGCCATTCTCTGAGATTGGGCTGTCCTCCAGTCTGACTTCATTGCTCTGCCACAATGTCTTTGTAAGCACCATGAATCAATCAGATTCCATACCGACGACAATCACTTTCTGCAACCCCTGTCAGGAAATGCGGGGTGATTCTAGCTATCTTTGATTGCCAGAACTCCTACGCTGAAGGTTTCTCGATTGACAATTACATAAATGATTGGCATAACTGTGTGATCTTTAGTAAGTTGAGCCGGCGGTGTCTTAAACCGCCCCGACCAACATTGAGGTTTATCCATTAAATCTCTCAAACAGCAACTTATTATGTAGTCAAAGCTCTATTGCACCAGTTGACTCCACGCTCATCCCTGGGGCATATACACATGGATGTGCTTGGAGCTCCAAACGAGCTTTCTCCACCATTCTCAACGGCGTTGTACTGCTGACTCGTGATTCAAAAATGCACCGCTCCGCGAATTTAGCACAGCCAATCTGCATGCTGTGACTTTAAAGAGAAAATCAGATCATGGTCTCCCAATAATATGGATAATTTATGAACATGTCGTGCCCTTTGGCGGAGAAGCAGGAGAAACATATATGACATTAACTACCTAGGTAGTTTTTCGCTATTTTCATTGCCATCGAATGACCACTCCTGTTCTTTCAAAATGGGCTTCCTATACCTTCAGCCAAGTCCTAGCTGACACCCGATCGCTTCTCTAAACTCGCAGCCAAACTATCGAAAACCACAGACAATATTCTACGCCAAGAATTCGTAATCACACCAGGTATTTTCTCTTTTAGCCAGACGGTTTCAGACGACAGCTCGCCTCGTTACTAGTCAGACACCGAGAAAACACGCATGTCTCTGGGCTACTTAGCGGACCAATTGATACTTTGGAGGGAGCTGAAAGAGGTCCACTGTGCGCCCAGCTCGAAGCTGTGTCTGCCACGATACTCCGTACGGATAGTGCTGCGATGGATTCATTTTAGCCTGTCCGTTTTAGGTGAGTGAGTGATGGAGGTCCGACAGCGGACCAGCTTGCAAATCCTCGGAAACTCGGTGTCATCACTGTAATATTTTGTCCGAGGAAAAAGGCGTATCTTACTGTTCTTCGGAAAGTAAGCATTCATCTGGACATGGTCGAGAGATAGGGCAGTGACTTGAGACTGCGGGATGTAGTTATGGGAGCACATGTTGATAAAAAAGAACAGCTTTGAGCGACTTCGGGACCATTTCCACCAGGTGTTACTGATTGGGGCAATTGATAGTAGAGGTTTTCACTTTCAGAGTCTCTTGGTTCGTGGCGGCTTTTCTGAGAATTGAAAAAAGATGAAATACACCGTGACAACCTATTACCACCCGAGTTCGCTCATACACAAGAGGGTATAAATCTCTGCGATTCGGAGCGTTTTCTCATAATGTTAGAAATTTGACCTTACTTCATGCCCAAGTTGACGAAATCACACACCTTTCAGGACCCCGTGACCTTCATCTACCGTTTGCCAGATCAAGGAAAAGCCAAATATTCCACATGAGCTTAATAATATTAGATTTATAAGTCCCTCCGCCATAGACAAAGAATGTGCGGATCCGCAGCATCCAGTGCGGGATGTGGGACAAAGCGTAACTCCCGAACATGTTTGCGGGGAAACGAGTTCATTAGATTACATGACTACGAAGGTAGCCTCTACTAATTCATTCTCGATTCAGGAGATTCTCATAGAACAGCCCAGCTTTGTTTTCATTTGATGAATTGACATACGCAGCGTTGATCTGCTTTGGGTTTATGCTTGCAACGAGAGGCTGATAGAGATCAAATCCGATTCAAGAAGCTCAGCTCTTCTCCTCAACCCCAGACTTTGACTAACTCGGCAGTGGAACGCTCCCCGCAACTAGAGGCAAGCTTCAGGGAACATGGGGTTTGACCCTACGGTACTTCTTCAATTGTCCTTTGCACCGCCGTAGGCTAACATGAACCTCCGGCGGGCCGAGGTGTGAGACATGTGCCCAAGCAGCCAAGGAAACAGATGAGCCGGAACCAGGAAAGTACTTCAATTTGTATGCTACACTCCTCAATATCCAAAGTCCTCCCATACAACCTTCTCTCCCAGCAACCAACCTTCCAGAGCAGCCAGCAGAGCTGGTGCTGTGCACAGAAAGAAACGGGCGTTTTGGCCTTTGAACCTCTCGACATCATCAGCGCCTATTCGTCGCTTTACTACCCGTGTCCCAGCCCGCTCAGCGTCCTCCAACAAGTTCTCCTTGTCCGGCTGACCAGTGACGAAGAGTGTAGTCACATTTGAGAGCCCTGGAATTCTTGAGAACGTGTCACTCGCAAGGGGTAAGTCCTCGTAGCGTAGAGTCCAGAGCAGCACAAATGGGGCTTTGTTTTGAAGTACAGCTGGTGCTTGTGCAAGGACAGGCGTAATTCCTACACCAGCCGCGATAAAGACAGACTGAGGACCTTTCGGTTCCAAGGGGATGCGGAAGCCCTCTTCGCCGCCAAAGCCAATCACCGGTATCTCCAAAGGCACACGAGGGTTGTGCTTTCTCAGGAAGCTTGTGACTGGACCATGTTTCCTCGTTGTGATTTGTACCTCTTTGTTGTTGTCTGGTGAGCTTGACACAGTAAACGTTCGGACATAGTCATCGTTGATACTTTGAGGATCGTGATCGGCCATATGACTGTAGCCACTCGACACTTCTGGCTCAAAGTCCAAGGTGATATACTGTCCTGCGTGCCATGCATTGATAGGCTTTGCTGAAGATAGCTCAAAAGTGTACCGGTCAATGGATGGCGTAAGAACTTCACGCTTAGCCAAGCTTGCCGTGGTACCATTTGATGAGGCCTCGGCAATGTGCGCATCGTGTTCCGAGAGTAAGTGACGGACAGGAGGGTTGTAAGGCGAGTATTCGCCCAGTGCACCTCGGAAAGGCAGTCCCGACTTGACGAACTTTGCAGCAGTAATTGAGATCTTGACCGCAAGTTTTGTTCTTGCAAGATAAGAAGAAGCCTCATCACCAACAAGTATTGATGCGCTGCCTGTGGCATAAAGAACGTTGGCTGTGTTATAATCTGGAATAACAATGCCAACCAGTGGATTCACTCTGAAGTTGCCGAGTGTCTGATATAGTCTATTGCCTGAGACTGATACTTCATTAGCTTTGTTCATGAGCAAGGGGATGTAAAACTCACACTCTGGATATATCAGTTCCAGTCCGCCCTTTTCATTCTTGATAATCCTCATGAACCCAGGACTTCCTCCACGATGATTTGTGTCCATTGTGACCCCATTTGTGCTTGACAAGAAGAACATGTCTGCCGCTGCAACCAGATCTAGGGCCTCCTGTGACAAGGGCAGCTTGTCCGAGACAAGCTCTGGTGCCATCTCATTAGGTACAATATTCTTTTTGTTGAGATATTTCGGACAGTTGCCCAGACTCTCGGTTACAGCCATGGCCATCTGTACTGCTTTGCCTTCCTCTACTGTGGCACCGGCAATCATGTTTCCTACCAGCTTCACGCGATCTCTGGTCTCCAGATCGATGGATAATCCTGCCATGGCCTTTCCTTCGCCTCCATTCGGCCTGTTAATAGCGCCTTCTTTCACCCCCTCATCGTCAATCCCATCCCATAGGGCTCTAAAAACAGGATCATAGCGAGTATCAACTGAGCTGTTGAACGCGAGCACGCCTTCAGCTACTGGCCTTGCAAAGCCCCGCTCTCCGCCCCATATTGTAGCCCATGGGCGACCCTCGCTATCCAGCGTTCCGAGGGCTACCAAGGGCGACTGCATCACTCGCATGCCATACTGGGGTGCTAAACCTGGGAACGTTGGATTTCCTCTTTTAGGGACTTTGAGTTGCTTTTGCACGGCTAGTTCGCCCTCGTGCCATTCTGATGTCGCTGAGGGCATGTTGTTATTGACAAAGGATCCGTATAATTGTAGTAAATGACTTTGAAATGCGTATTGGAAGCTCAGTGCAAGACTGTGAAAGAGAATGTTCAGAAGAAATAGCTTGGTCATGCCGCTCTATAAAGCCTCTGACTTAGTCAATTCTATGTCATCAGTATATGTCAGCAACCAAGATTGAGTTCCTGCTGTCGACAAATCGTCAGCCGTGGACTTTCCTCTTTTAAGGGCGTAGTTGACCACACTGCAGGGTTGCTCACGACATTAGCACGAATAATAAGTAATCAGATGGCCCAAGTCAGCATGGCAACGCCACTCCCTCCAACATGTCAAATATTGTCATATGTCACTTCTATTCAGGCTTCTTGGGTAAAAAGTCCACCTATGGACATGATATTATTGATTCGTGATTCATTAATAATCCAACATATTTGATATAATCTTTTACCAACCACCTGGTCTTTGAGATTCAACATCATAGTTATAGGGAGGAGCCCTTTCAGGTCTCGCAGATGCTGCGCGAGGCGGCATTGGGTTCGTCAAGTTCCTTTGTGGAGGTCCCCGAAAAGGCATTGGCCCTGTAGCACTTCGTACTGGAGGATTGAAGGGCCGTTGCATTGCAGCTCCGCCCTGATGAGAGTTCACAGATGATGCAGTGCTCATGCGACCTCCAGGATTGTAAGCTTGGTACTGAGGTGTCTGAGCCGAAGGAAATGTTCCCATGGGCTGCGAAAAGGTATCCATAGGGCGAGCGCTGGGGGCGCGAGTCGGAGGAGGGAAGAAAGGTGCCATGTCAGAGTTCATTGGACCAGGACTCTCTGTAAATCGCCCGGGAAGAGTTGTCATTGGGTCCATTGCCATTTGATTTGGAGGATAAGGCCCAAAGTTATCATGCCTGTCAGTGGTAGATCGGGGTTGGGTCTGTCCCTGGTAGTTAATAGGAGGCACATCAGGCACGGGGGATGCAATCCGCCCATATCCACCTCCGGATCTAGAAGTGGCTCGGGATGCGTAGCTCGCGATAGATGCCGTAGTGCCCTGTCTCGATGGCAAAGTTCGTTCTGAAGCTGGGAGTGCGTTCTCCATGCCACCTGGCGTACCGGGTCGTGAAGTGTAAGGTGGCAATGTCATCATGGTGTCGTTACGATTGAGCATTGGTGGGTAATCCATCTTGGTGACTGGGCCAACGTTTGGCAAAGTTGGTAGGGTGGCAGCTCGATCAAGGTGAGGCTTCTCTCCATTCTTCTTGGCCGCCTTGATTTCAGCCTTAAAGCGGCTGGCCTCCTCCCTAGCTAGAGCTTTGTTGACCGTCTTTGTGACAATCTTCATCAATGCCTTGGTGACCTTCCGCTCGCAATATCCAGAAAGACCACCGTCGGCTGCAGGAATCCAATGGTATAAAAAGAATACCCAAAACAGAACGGCAGCGAGAAGGAAAAGCGCAGAAAACACCCAGATAACCAGAGTGAAACACATTCCGGAAAGAATAAGTGCCTGTTGATAATCTTCCTCGGCAAGAATCTTGATCTTCTCGAAGAATCCAGTAATAGAGTCGCCCACATTGTCTGCTGTAGGCGTCAACTGTGCCTCATACACTGACTTGAGTGTAAAAGCATTGAGGACCTGGCGAGGACCTGAGCAGACGATGACTCGGATCCAGGCTATAGAAATTAGTAAAGAGTATTTCATAAGTTGACATAACATGTAAGCATACCTTGAAAGTTGAAGTATGTGAAGAGCGCAATATATTGTGCGCCTTCTTTACTTTTGGTGAGTTCAGCAAAGACTAGGAATCTTTTCCAACCTTGCGAACCAAGTCGAATTGATTCCCATCGAACGGCTAGGCTGTCAAGATAGGATTCCGCAACATTGCCTCGTCTGATAACCCGAAATGCGCGGAATCCCTCGTAAGCTAGGTTGATGAATGAGAGAATAATGCAAATAGAGAAGATCCATTTCGTGACGTCGAAAGAGATGGCAGGGTCGATCTTTGAAGACCAACGATCAAACACGAGTAGGTTGACGGCAGTAAAACTGTCAACAACGTAGACCGCAACTGAAACGAGAAGCATAAGCCACAGGTAGATATAAGCGAATACAGTTCCGCATCCACGGCTCTTGAAGTCGCGAAGATTGATGTATTCCCATTTCTGGTCAGCAATCCCCACAACCTGCTTCTTTCGGTTCCCGCAGCAAGTCATGATGAGAACTGTGATCGTCTTAAGAAGCTATTTCGAAAAACAGAGGTCGTCGGTGGGTATAAAGGTTGTCGAGTGACAAGATATCGGGTTCCTTCGCCAGCGAAGACCGAATACACCGCTATCAAAAGAAACAGAAGCAAGAACGTCGAGAAAATAAACTGAAAATAAGCGATCGTGATAATTTCGTGCTGCAACCGGTGCGCGATAAGTGAGGGTTTAGTGTAAAGTTGAACACATGGCTGTAGTTGATAATGTTGTATGTACTGTCGATTAGATAGATAGGTTTTGTTGTTCAGGAGAAATATTCAAGAAGGTATCTTAAAGGGATGAGTGAAATCCGTAGATGTTAGGATTCAATAGAGAACAATAACCATATAAGGATGGCTGTTCGCGGTGGTTGAATGACGATATATTGTTTGAGATTCGAGACAATGGAATGAAAGATTGACGAAACCGACACAAAAGAGAAATTGTACTGAAGCCAATGAAAGAGCCGTCAAAGCTGTGGCAAGAACAATTACTGTACAATAGCAGTAGAAGGCTGGAAGATGAATGAAAGAGAGTCTGGAACAATAAGACACGGCGGAAATGGGAGGGATGTTTCAAATGAGAGGAGAGTGCCTCGGGCTAAGGTAGTTAAATCGCAATATAATCCAGCATTGACTTGACTTCAAACAGGAAGGAGCGGAGATCAGCATCTACAGCAAGTGTAGGTATGTAACGCTACGAGGACCCTGGCCTTTAGTGGCGCCATTGCCTGCAGGTACCAAACGCCAAACGTTGAGAGCATTATCTTGAGGGTTCATCGAGACCAACGATTGGCTGTGGAGATTGCTGCGGCGCAGAAGAAGGCCACTGTCAACAAGAACTCAGTGGTTCTGAACCTATTGCCTCTGTCGGGCCTCGGATGGAGAAGACTGGGCATTGCCGCTGGTGTTGGCTCATTTCTCTTGTTTCAGTGGCTGGTTTTCTTTATCCTCCAACCGCCAACTGGAATCTTGACGGCCCAAGAAGACGGCGCGACCAATCCCACGGCCCCAGACACTAACAGCGAATCAGCGCGATTAGCCGCTGTGTTCAGCGGTAATAATTCTGGATAACAACAAAGTCGTGTAACCAGAACAGACGAGGACAAGAACAGCACATTATCAAATGAAACTTGGATCGGTGCTCCCGAATTCTCGAGTTTCAGCGTGGTTGCATCGCAACAAATCCCCCAATTCTCTCGGGTCACTCGAATGGGTGAAACGTGCTAATAGTGGTCGGGTTGCCTCCCCCGCGTCAATCCATGCCAGAAGCACCGAGACTGTTGCACACAAAGTTGAGAGCTTAACTTGGTCGCAATCTTGGGTCTTCGGCATTTTAGAAACCCGCTTGTATGTAAATCTTCATTTCCCGAGGAACACCATAATCGGCATCGCATGACTTGACAAGACGAGGTGCTTTATCGATCAAACAGCTACTGTAACTTGCCTCGGTTGCTTTTACCACAGCGGCCACAATGATAATTACTGATTGCTGGCTGTTGGCTGCCTCAAATATTGAGAAATAACGCAATTGACGGCAGTTGGCCATTGTGGGCTGAGTATTCACCCATGACGTTATAAACTTTCCCATCACACCTTTTCTTTGTTCGAAACAACTCTAAGGGGGTCGTGCGAGCAATGGTCCTATACTTGAGACTAACTACTACTTTGTTTGGATAGCGCAAACAGCATCGCATTCACTCGAACAAAGAGATGAGGCAATCATTGGCTTCATCCAATATGTGTCGGAGTTGGCTTCTTTGTTATCTGTTCCCGCCCCAGAACGGCGGCAGAGGTCATGACAAGAGAAATATTTACTCTCAGAAATATCTTGAACATCTCATCTACTACATCTTCCTCTTGCCTCCAGTGAACACGCCGTCTCTGCCGTCATCATGACTTCCGAATACTCGTCGAATCCTGATATCAGGATGTTCGGTAGTCCCGCCACAGAGGTTGAGAAACCAACATTTGAGCTCGTCGAGAAGGTCAAGAAGAACATCTGGATTGTCACGAGGAAGGGAGACCCGCGACGAGAGAAGTATCTTGCCAGTCCTAGCAGCTCTTTCGGAGTGAAGCCTGATGGTACTGTCGATGTCACAAAAGCACATCGAGAGGCTGAAGCTCTCAACACACTTCTGTCGACCCATAATCAAGCATACACTATCCGCCAGATCCTCAATCACGAAAACCTCATTTCCATCGTTGGTGTCATAGAAAATTGGCCTTTCAGCAAGTCACAAACATCTGACATTGTCCCGGAAAACAATGTCCAGATGCTCGTCTGGGACTTTGGTGATGCTGGTAACCTCAGCGCTTTGTTCCGCCATTATCCCTGCACAAGTCCTGAGTTCTATCTACCGGAATCTCTTTGTTGGCACGTTCTGCGATCTTTGATTCGCGCAGTGACTTATCTCCATGACGGGAAACGACTGGCTTACCGGCCCGAGCAACTTGGTCGTCATATGGTCAGGGAATGGGTTTCTGTAAACACCGATTGGTTCCCAATTCTGCATCGTTGCATCGAGCCTATGAATGTTTGGCTTCAGCATCCTCGAGGCAATGAGACCTATGGTCAATGCAAATTGGGCGATTTTAGCAACGCAGCTGTCACATGCCACGTTGTGGATGATCAATTCGATCCTGACACTATTCACTCAGACTCGAAGGGGATGGCATTAGCTACAAAGGAGGGGATGTGGCGACTGGAGGATGCTCGATCTGACCATCGTGTCCCCCCGGCGTCGATTCCGAACGAGGTTGGTACTCAAAGCTGATCAATAACCACCACTAACTCACATACTATAGGGAGATCGACCCTATACCCTCGGAGATGAGTTGTGGTCTATTGGTGTGACGATTTTCACCATGATGACTGGCCAGGCTCCAACTTACTACTGTGAGGAGTGCGGTTGTTCACATGTCGCTTTTTGCGCAGACGGTGGCTGTCTGGAGAAAGAGGCCACTGCAAAAGGATGTGGCTGCTTGCTTGGTGGGTGTGAGCATATAAGCCAGACGGAATGTAAAGAAGAGGTCTCAGGATGGCCCGATTGTCCAGCTTGGCATAATTGCTCCGAGTTCACCATCAACATCCATTCGTACCTTGCACGAGCTCGTTACACCAAACCATTGCGTGCCATGATCATGGTAATGCTGGGATACAACCCTGCACAGAGAATTGAACCATGGGTTAGAATGGCAGAGGTTGCGCAGATGGTGGAGCTCGCATATGGACAGTGGAAGCAAGAGACTGAGGAGGGGAGACTCTACGTGGATGTTGAGGATGACCTACTTCAGAGAGCTACACAATGAGAATGTGAGTGAGCAGAAATAAGTGTAGTGTGGCCTTTTCTCCATATATTATTTGTTATTGATAGTACTCTTGTAAACCGAGATAATTTCCTGGTTGCCTCACAATAATCATGTTCTTTGTCATGAACCGGGCTCGAATTAAAGGTCCGGCAATCAAAGAGCCAATGATCTTACACGACTGCATGTCAATTTACAGAGCCAATGAGATAAAACCAGTCACAAGCTCTCCACTTCGGGTGCCCCGCTATCAACAAGGCTTGAACAAGTTGAACCTGGCCTGGATCCTGAGCCGTTTCCCCATTCCACCTCAACACGTATCAAGGCTTGACCCTTCTCTTCCAAGCAACGAGCGGGTCTTTTCTCGTTCTTGTATAACAATCTAACCCTATTCCCCTATTCTATCGAAGATTCACGTCAGTTTCTGCATTCGGAAAAGTCCGCAAAGGCTATCGACTTGTCAGTCGCCAATCGCCAATCGTTCAATCACCATGTCCATCTCCCACCCAACGCCTCCTCTTCTCCTCACAAAGCGCCTTACGGCGTTCCTCAACGCGAACCGAACTCCCCAGCTTCCCACGCTTCTTCTTACAAGCCCTCACGGCAAGCTTCTCGCACACGCAAGCCCTCATCCTGTAGCCGCTCTTCGAACACATGCGACCGTTGCCGCATCCCTCCTCGCCATACACTCCACCTCGGCACCTGCCCTCGCTGCGTCTCTGCCCGGTTCTCGCACACCCGATCCGATCGGAAGCTCGCCACCGGAAGAGGATGACCTCGAAGATGAGACAGATCGATTATCGCAAAGCCAGCAGCTCGACTCACACAAGTCTGGCAAGGGACGTGGCATCAAGCCTGCTACCGTCACGGTTCAACTTACGAGCGGTACTGTCGTGATCCGTAGGTTGAAGTGCGGTCTTCTCTTTGTCTGCGTCGGACCCGCCAACCCAGATGCCACAGAGCATGGCGTGCTCAATGTGCATGATCTCCATGTTCCCACTGGCGAGTCATCTCATGTTGGTAGTCCAGATGGAGCGGACAGTATTCTGAGCACTGGTGGACAAACAACAGCTAGTCTGGAGAGCACTGCAGGCTCTGCCGCTGCAGTAACTGCCCTTCGCCGACATGCCACCGAGCTAGCTCGTTGGCTTGACGACAAGCTTGGCACGCTCACTGTTCCAGAGGAGGGTGTTGGCGTGGAGTAATGGCATCATATTTAGTACAAGCGAATTGGCATAGACGGCGTTGGGATTAATCTGAGGGATAATCAAGGAGTGATCTGAGAAAGGCTTCTTCTTAGGCGTTAGGGGCTGTCTGTTACAGACACGGCATTTATATAATCAGAGACATTGATGATACGTAATATTTTCGCTCGAGATGAGGGTATTAGAAATAAAGCCGCTTCCAAAGACTGTATGTTTGAAGACCCCATACCAATCCGTTCCTAAATAACGCCAAAGCTCATAACGCCTCCATATGCTTTTAGTTCCATGGTGCAAAGACTCGATTCCTTCGAGGCACTCCAATATTCCCGAGAGAAAGAAACAGGCTACTCTATACTCATACGCATGATCCCATCGTGAGTATCAATCATTCCTTGGAAACCAACCCGGCCTTTGCTGTTTAGTCGTCCTGCCGCAGAGCTACTGCCGGATAGGTTTCCTGGTGTGCTGCCGGCTTCGCTTGGTGCACTACTGCCAGCCTTATCGCCGCCGTTACTACCGGGACGAGAACCCCACGACATACCATCTCGTTGGAGTGGACTCTGCATGACTGGTGAATTGTGAACGCTCATGCCAGGGCTCACAGCTCGGCGTTTGAAGCTAACAGGATCAAAATCATCGTCCCGGCGACGCTTGCTGTTGATTCTTCTAGTTATTTCTGCAGCAGTTGGTGGTTGAGTACCGCCATTCTGCGGGGCCCAAAACATTAGTTTGTTGTTTCTTTTTGACCAGACAAGGGTGCACTTACAGTAGCTCCACCAACTGACGGTGAGTCCATCGCCACGTCTTCGCTAATGCCAGAGGATGAGCCTCGAGGAAGAAAAGCGGCAGGAGGCGGTGTAGTTCTGGCGCCGCCTGTGCTACTCGACTCAGAAAATGTGTCCCAGAACGTCTTCCCTTTGGAGTTCTTGATAGCATGTTGCTTAAAACTGCTAGAGAGACCCATGGATATGTCGCCCATGATATCATCCTCGGGTACGTCGTTCAGGCCTTCTTGCTGTGTCAAGTTGGGTGAAGAGGGTGCTGTTGTTGATTGAGTTGATTCCAAGGCCGGTTGTGAGATCCTGGGCTCAAGCTCCATGTCGCAATCACGAACTTGTTTAACAACTTCGGCCTCTCGACGAAACTCAGACTCGGCGGGAGTGCTCTCTTCCATGAGCGCAGCACGAATGCGCGCGAATCCTTTTGTCTTGGGCTGTACCGAATTAGTTGCGCGCTCGTATTAGTCTGATATAAGTGACTTGCCAAAAGATTTCCCCGTCTTGTTACTACCCTCCGAATGACATTGCGCTGCCCATCTCCAAGCCCGTCCACATCGCCCATTGCTCGTGTCTCATCGGAATCTGCACCAGAAATGTGCAATTGATTAGCCTGCCAACTGATGCTCTCGCGACGGGCTCGAGAAGAATTAGTTGGTGGTGACTTGGATAGAGATGCACCACTGAATCCCAGTCCCAAGGGCCCACGAGCCTTCTTCTTGGCTTGTTTGCGGGGTCTTTGTCGCTGTTGGAAACTCATGAGGCTGCTCATTGCAGGGGATCCAAAGGTCCCACCAGACCCTTGGGGACCGAGAATTGGACCAATCTTATGGACTTGCGGAGTTGTTACGTAGGTCTCGTCCATGTCCTCATCCATCAGGTCATCGTCATCAGAGGTACTTGACGAATCAGAGCCAATCGCCTGGCTCCCAAGCGAGCTGCTGATGTGCATCTTTTCCTGATTGCCCATGACGGACCACAGAGACGTCGATGTTTGTTCCGGGCCGGCATAATGACTTCTTCGGCTCGGTATGTTCATAGCCCGGCCACCAGCGGTGGGCGATGAATCGGGAGAAGACTGCTCGGCGAGGGTCGAGTGATGCAGGCTGGTAGCGGCGCGAGAGAAGTCGAGGCCACGGGAGCGACGAGGAAGTATATTGGTAGGAGATGCGTATATCTGGGAGTGGTCAAGTTTAGGTGAGAGAGGTGCAGGTTTGACATATGAGTTCGCGGCTGGTGGAGTAAATTCTCGAGGAGGCATCTGTATGGAAAAGCCACGGTTGGAAAAGTTTGGGCGCCGGGGCGTCACTGGCTGGGGAGTCGGAATACTAGTGTCGTCTTTTGAAGTCCGTCGAGATGCCTCGACGATGCGTGGTGAGGGAGAGAGTCGAGAGGGGGTTCCTCCTCCATCGGACATGGACCGCGTTTTCGTCAAGGGCGACCGGGCCTGGGCTTCCTGCAATCCAGCAACCTCCTGATATCCAACAGCCTTCAAATCGTCCATGATGGCTGAGTCCTCATATTCGCCCGCAGTATTTCGGAATCGATCCATGATGGTTAGAGTGTTGCTTTTGCAGACGGTTGCGGTTTCGAGTTGGCGGTCACTATTGCTAGCCTTGAACGTAAATTTGATCAAGGGGCAATAGCTTAGATGAGGATAAATATATCATGGCATTAATGCTGTCATGTGGTGAGAGTTGAGAAAATAAACCTTAAAGAGAGGGCGTAAAGTCAAAGAACGCGAGGTATTGCGATGAGTGGGCGGCTAACTACCTAATACTGACTGCAGCAACCTTGAGGTGAGTAAATAGAAATCCATCTCTTTTAGGTTTGGCTGCCCAGGGCCGCTAAATTAGTTCCACAGGCTGTTGGCGGCTGAGAACGGCCCCTCAGCAGTGAAACACAGAATTTGCTCATCGGCATGGATACGATTATATAGTCCTTGATTTTCTTATTTCCAGTCATGGCTTTGCTGTAACAAAAACAGTCTACAAGGTATGGTACTTTATAGCCTGGCTTCGAATATATACAGTTAATCTTGAGTTTATGCGGCACGGTACGAGTCTGCAGTGCTCACTACGTGCTTACAGCAGTTGGCCTGGGTTCATTGACGACATATTCGACAAAGGTGCATAAAGGTGGGTTTATTTTTTGTACGGTTCATACAATTTGATGTCTCAAAAGGGGATAGGCAGTGCAAAATCAGCATCATCCCTTATATCACTAAGCTGGGACCTAATAAAGCATTAACTGGCATCTATGTATATTGTGTAGGAATATGATGCTACCGCTTGTTGAAATGGAAGTCTGTGTCATAGTGAATACATTGAGAGAAGGGTTGAGTTACCATCTTATGACAATAGGTAGCCAATGGACCTTGGCTATGAAACAATGCACATTCGCGGCATTAGGACAAGAAGATACCCACACCTAATAAAGACCAGCTTATCCTAGAAGGGCCTGTAACAGATGGGCAGTTTCTCCCAGTTCCGAACATACGTATGCATTGTCGTTCCGAGCCCGGCCAGAAAGAATACCTCCAATCTACCCTACACAACACCGTGTTAATAAGTTTTGAACTTACCTTATGGTGCCTCTTTCATGATCAACAACTACAGGAGAACTGAAAGAGATCTTTTGACATAATTGAATACCAAGTGATTGTAGCTGACTGCGTACTGTAGTGCTATAGAAATTGTGATCTCTCTGCTTCTACAAAGGATGCTTTGACGTCAGAGGTGGGGTTAGTTACCGAATGGAGGGGCATTACTCAACGATCCAATGTTTCGGCTATCATGATAAAACCCAATAACTGCTCACAGACTCAATCCATACTGCACAAAAAGCTCAATGAACTTTGCAAGAGCCACACAGCGCATCAGGTCCATCCAAAACTTTCTTACTAGACAGACAGTTCCCCGTATTCCGGTACCTGCTATTGCTGCTGGACAATCCAGATTAGTCACCATGGCTTCAACTACAGATACCAAGAACTACAAGTTCAACCACTCAATGTAAGTGTAGATCTCCATGCATCTTCGATAGGAAAGTAGTTACTAACTCGGTCCAAAAGGATCCGAGTCAAGGACCCCAAGGCTTCCGGTAAGTCAGGCACACCTTGATGTCCACAGCCCTGATCATCAAGTCTCGCCTTAAGCTTAAATTGAACAAACTCACTACCTGTGCGAATATTGACCCAAATACAGCTAAATTCTACGAATTCCTTGGTATGAGCCTTGTGAAGAAGCTCGAGTTCCCTGATAGCAAATTCGACCTCTACTTCTTTGGCTATGACTCTCCTAATGCCTTGTCACACAACAAGAGCACTTTTGACAGACAAGGACTTATCGAGTTGACTCACAACTACGGCACTGAGGATGATCCTGAGTACAAGGTGAACAATGGTAACCAAGAGCCTAACCGTGGTTTTGGCCACACCTGCATTGCCGTCGACAACATCCAGGCTGCCTGCAAGCGTATCGAGGATGCCGGTTACAAGTTCCAGAAAAAGCTGACAGATGGACGCATGCGAAACATCGCCTTTGTACTTGACCCTGATGGCTACTGGGTCGAGGTGGTTGCCAGAAACGATTACAAGCAGACAGAAGATGTGAAGGAGACTGATGTATCAACCTACACTATGGTTTGTTCACCATTCTTGTCGATCTTCTAGAATATGTAGCTAATGATCTAGAACCACACCATGCTTCGTGTCAAGGATGCTGAGAAGTCCTTGAAGTACTACCAGGAGGTTCTTGGCATGTCTCGACTGCGCACCCTTGAGAACCCTGAGGCCGGCTTCAACCTTTACTTCCTCGGATACCCTGGCGATCAGCCTTTCCCCGAAGGCCAGGATGAGAATACCATTACCCATCGGGAGGGTCTTCTCGAATTGACATGGAACTATGGTACCGAGAAAGACGAGAACTTCCACTATCATGACGGTAACAGCCAGCCTCAGGGATTCGGCCACATCTGTGAGTTAATATCTGTATAGGAGAGCATGCATGAAGCTAACAAATTTAGGCGTTTCGGTTGACAACATTGACGCGGCTTGCAAGCGATTCGAGGACCTGAACGTGAGCTGGAAGAAGAGACTTACAGACGGCCGAATGAAGAATGTTGCCTTCTTGTTGGATCCTGATGGCTACTGGATTGAGCTTGTACAGAATGAGAAGTTCTCTGGCAAGGAGAACTTCTAGATGCCCGTACATGCATATTCTATGACAACGGAACCCTATACCTCAAGATTGAGAAATCAAACTCAAATGATCTCGTTAAACAAGGCCAACAAATCTGATATGTTTTACCGCATAAGAAGGAAAATGAAGCCAATCAGCATCATAATGCAGAACGAGCGATACACAATGTAAATGGCGTGGGGCAAGCAATTGATCTCCGGCCGTTTTCTCCCACAAGTTAATAAGGCTCTCATCGTACAAATAGTCTTCTTGTACCTTGATAGTTATAGCGATATCCATTTCTGTTGGAGACCAATTACTTAATAGCGCCCTCCAATAGAGGATGGCTTCGAGAATATCGATCCAGGCATTTGTACACATTGAGACCATATCCCAGGTTGACCGGTGAGCCATGTTGCCGTGTTTTCGCCCGTCATGTACCAGGTGAGCGTATCCAATGCAACTAGACTTCTTTGCCCGGCAGACACGGGTCGTTTCCAGCGGTGGCACTGGAATGCAGTAGTTGAACATGGAGAAATGAGGGGTTGCAGCTTAGGCTGAGTCTGAGATACTGGTGCCACACTAAAGCTCGCTCAAGCTTCAAGCTCCACGGACATTGATGGTTACTCTCTTGGTGCCCCGCCATATCATGTACCGTGCCGTAGTACTCTGACAGTAATCACAATACTTCACTCGCCGCAGAGAAACCACCCCCGCGCCAGAGATCATTACCTCCGTGGGGTGCTTGCATGGGAGGACAGACTTCTGCATCTCAATCTGCCCGTTCTTATTAAGGACTTTTACTTTGAGAAACGGTGGCCAAGGCTGATCTGGGCTCCTTGGATTGGGTAGCCAAAAAGGTGGCGGTTATCTGTCTCATGGGAGGACAAAGACAAGAGGGGGACGTCATCTCGATCTTTTTACTTATACTAGGTCGTGTGCCCTCTCACTTGAACTTGTATTTCTTAGTATACACACCGTCTTTGCAAGTACTTCAGAATACCACCTACTCGACTCACCATGTCCCCTTCAGCTACTTTTGACACAACTTCTACTGGCCACTCAAACCGTCCTAAGATCCTCGTACCTGAAAAAGTATCTCCAGATGGACTGGCTTTACTAACCCCTCACTTTGACGTTGACAGCCGCAAAGGGTTAACGGCCCCCGAGCTTATCAATTTGATCCCTAACTACCATGGCCTGATTGTTCGCTCCGAGACGCAAGTTACAGCTGAAGTCGTCCAAGCTGGACGGAAGCTGAGGGTTGTTGCTCGGGCTGGTGTTGGAGTTGATAACATAGATGTCCCTGCTGCAAGCGCCCAAGGCGTTATTGTTGTGAACTCTCCTTCAGGCAACATCCTTGCAGCGGCAGAACACACTATTGCACTCCTCCTTTCAACAGCTCGTAATGTGGGCCAGGCAGACAGCAGTGTCAAGGCTGGCCGTTGGGAGCGAAGCAAGCTCGTGGGTGTTGAAGTTGGCCGTAAAACCCTCGGCATCATCGGTTTGGGCAAGGTTGGAATGAATGTCGCTCGCATGGCCATAGGTCTTGGTATGACAGTCAAGGCAGTCGATCCCTATGCAAGCACCGACATGGCTCGTCAAACAGGCGTTGAGCTGGTCCCTGGGTTGGAGGACCTGCTTCCTGTGGTTGACTTTCTGACCATCCATACGCCCCTGCTTGCTACAACGCTGGACTTAGTTGGTGAGACAGAGTTCAAAAAGATGAAGAAGACAGCTCGTGTGCTCAATGTTGCACGCGGCGGTGTGTATAATGAGGAGGCTTTGATAAAAGCACTTGATGAGGGATGGATTGCAGGGGCGGGTATTGACGTCTGGTCCTCAGAGCCACTGGCCCCAGATTCAGCAGCAGCCCGGCTCAGTCAACACCCCAAGGTTGTGGCGACACCTCACCTGGGAGCCTCAACGGTGGAGGCACAGGAGAACGTTTCAATGGATGTCTGCAAGCAGGTCCTCGAGATTCTTCAGGGTGGACTTCCTACTAGCGCTGTCAATGCCCCTATTATCATGCCGGAAGAGTACCGTAAGCTGCAACCATCTGTGCAGCTTGTCGAAAAGATGGGTCGTCTCTATACGCAGCACTTTGTGCGCAGTAAAGGAGGCATGATAGGGGGACGTCGATTCGAGCTCACATATCACGGCGACGTGGCTGGCATGACCAACACCAAGCCGCTGTTTGCTGCCCTTGTTAAAGGTCTCGTGTCCACGTTCAGCGACTCGCACATCAACATGGTCAACGCAGCACTCATTGCCAAAGAGAAAGGCATTGTGATTAGTGAGACGCGTTCTGGCGATTCGCCTTCGACTTATGCCAACCTGGTGACACTACGTTCATACCAGGCTGGCAGCAGTGGTAGTGAGCAGGTGATTGAAGGCTACGCGAGTGATGAACGAGTCTTCATCTCCAAGCTGGACAGATTCAATGGTGTGTTTACACCGGAGGGAACCTTAATTATACTGCACAACTATGATGAGCCTGGCAAGATCGGGGGAGTAGGGATGGTTTTAGGTCAGCATGGGATTAACATCAAGTTCATGCAAGTGGCCAGTCTGGATCCCGAAGCTACTAAAGGAGCCGATACCCCGCCTGACCCGAAAGGCAACGAGGCATTGATGATTCTTGGTGTTCTCGGGCCAGTGAGTGGTGAGGTCTTGGAGGACTTGAATAACTCCCCAGGAGTTCTTGATGTTGGACTGGTCAAGCTATGATCACGGTGCTGGTTAGTCGAAGGACGTGAGGATACCATTCAACATGCTCAGGGGTGGCAATGCAATCGTGACCACAGCTACGGAGTAGGAGTGCTGGCGTAGAAGAAAAAAGATAAAATAAACCTTTATTATGAGTCGATTATCACATGCTCTGCAGAAATTTCTAGACCTAAGCTTGGTGCCAAAATGATTAAACTAAAAGTCTAATGGATCTATTCTAAACTTACATACACAAATCTTTTTGTCATTTAGTTACCTTATAGGGATCCTCAAGTTTTCTTGCCTCTCCCTGGCAATCCATGGATGAATTGATTGTCTTTGTCATGACCTCATCCGGGTTTTAGCTGGGAAACTAAGGGCAGCGTAACGAACGGTTTTAGCTTCTGCAACGTCAAGGTTTTAGTGGATTTTGTCTACTGCATTCGGGATCTGGACCTGGTCTAGTGGACGCCCCCACCAATAAAATCGTCCTCTCCTCCCTGGCAGTTCCCCTTCGTCATCGTGCTCGCGAGTTAGATGACCCATACGGAGTATCATCCAAGGATAAGGTAGCTAATTCCAACCCTTCCGTCCCACTTCTTTTGCCTCGTCGTTCTTGTTCTTCATCAAAGCTCACCTTTGGTGCCAAAAGGTTGGATTTTGACTAGGCGAAACGAGGCAAAAAAGACTTCAATTGTCCGAATAGCTTCACGTTCTTATCGACAGCATCTCTTCAGGCTTTATCTTGACCCCGAGCTCCCCTGTCTCAGCCACATTCCGGTCATTATCGTGTAAGCTTTGCCAAGGTCGCTTGCGCCTATCCGTCGGAGATTGATTACCTTGGCCTGCTTTGAACGCGTTCATCAACTCAATCTGACCTTCGAAAATCGACATTCGCGGTCTTCCCGCCTCGCCTTGCGGTGACGAGATAACACATATATCTACACATTCGATATACGACATACACATTCCGTCACAATGGCGAACGCTGGACGATACAACTTGGGCTCAATACGCCCGGCTGTGATTGGTATGGGCCGAGTCTTTGGTGCGAGCTTGACGGCTGTCTCTGCCTTTCCAGTTGACACTAAGGGCCACCATGACGCTGGCGAAGAGGGCGGTTCCAGCCTCTGGGTCCTCGCTGTTGCCTCAATGGTTCTGGTTCTTCTTGGTGGTGCTTTTGCTGGATTGACAATTGCGCAAGTTCCCCTCCCTCTTGGCGATGCGCGACGCATGCTGACCTACCCAGTTTGATGGGACAAGACAGTATTTATCTCCAGGTTTTATCGGGCGATCCCGCGGAATCACAGTCTAAGAATGCGAAACGTGTGTTGAAATTGTTAAAACGAGGAAAGCATTGGGTTCTGGTCACACTGCTGCTATCCAACGTCATTGTCAACGAGTCACTTCCCGTTGTATTGGACCGAACTCTTGGAGGAGGTGTTGCTGCTGTCGTTGGCAGTACTGTTCTCATCGGTATGTGAGATATAATAGCTCTGGTAGGCTTTGCTAACCGCAACAGTTATTTTTGGTGAAATTGTTCCCCAGTCCATCTGCGTTCGATATGGTCTTCCGATCGGCGGATACATGTCTACCCCAGTTCTTCTTCTTATGTACCTCACCGCTCCCGTTTCCTGGCCTATTGCAAAGCTTCTCGACTGGATTCTGGGTGAGGATCATGGTACCTTGTACAAGAAGAGCGGACTGAAGACGCTAGTCACCCTCCACAAGTCTCTGGGTGAGATTTCCGAGCGTTTGAACCAGGATGAGGTTACGATTATCACGGCTGTTTTGGACTTGAAGGACAAGCCTGTTGCTGAAGTCATGACGCCCATCTCCGATGTTTATACGCTTGCCGAAGACCACATCCTCGATGAAAAGACTATGGATGATATTCTATCCTCCGGGTACTCGCGAATTCCTATCTATCGTTCTGGAAATCACTTGGACTTTGTTGGCATGCTTTTGGTCAAGACACTCATCACCTACGATCCCGAAGATAGAATCCCCGTCCGCGATGTGCCTCTCGGCGCAATTGTCGAAACCCGCCCTGAGACCAGCTGTCTGGACATCATCAACTTCTTCCAGGAGGGCAAATCGCACATGGTGCTGGTATCGGAATTTCCCGGTTCTGACCATGGTGCCCTAGGTGTTGTTACTCTTGAAGATGTGATTGAGGAATTGATTGGAGAGTAAGTTGACAATCTCGCTCATGACGAATGTGACTGACCAGACAGGGAAATTGTTGACGAATCCGATGTCTACGTCGATGTACACAAGGCTATCCGACGTCTTACTCCCGCACCACGAGCCCGCCGAATTCATGCAACTGCTGCGGCAGCCGCTGCAATGGCCACTAAGAAGGCCCCAGGCGACTCTATTTTGGTCGATGTTGAAGAACACGCTGAGGAACACCCTCCCAATGTTGAGACTGCTTCTTTCCACAGCAATTATGAAGGAGGCTTCCACAATGCTGCCAAGACTGCTATTCACATGAAGCGCCGGACCTCTGATGGTGGCATTGAAGGCACCCCAGTTGTTGTGAAGGCTAGTCTAGATGAAATGAGGTCTCAACTTCGTCTTGGACCTGCGAACCGAGCTGCGAACCCCCGCAGCAATACCCGCAGCCTCTTCAAAATCAAACAAGGTCTTGGGGCGAGCCATACGCCCCCCAACGATGGCTCAAGACCTGCCCAGCCGCGCGCTGCATCCCACATGGGCTTCACAAGTACTCATGGACAATCGCAGGCGCGGACTCAGGGGCATGAACGAACACCGTTATTAGCTGAGGATCACGAAGAAGCTATCGACAGTGATGAAGATGACCACGTTCATAAAACAAATGGTCGGCATTAGGGGGCCTATTTAGTGGTATGGATAACGGGGTCTGATGGAATTGTTTCTTAGGAGTGGCATATCTAAACCAGGGCCCTTTATTGTTGGACACAAGGTAGGGTTTAGTTAATACATCTCTGCAGCATTGATGCCAGCAGCCAAATCTTGGCAACTATAATACTTTTTTTGACGTCACATTTTGTCTCATTCTAACTTTATCCTTTTTCTATTCAGCCACACTAATGTGCTCTCAATCATACCAGATGGCGTTCATGCCGAAGCCAGGCTCTGGTGTTCTAACCCTTGCAACACGGGCGAGGTACTCATCTTGCCAGCGGTAGATCTCCAGCCAACCTTCTTGATCATCCGTGATTGCTACCCACTCATCTGTCCAAGGGCAAGGTGCAACCGCATTACTATGTCCACCACTCGTAGGTGTAGGATTGAGGCAGATCTGGCGCTCAATGGCGCCGGTATCCGAGAGCTTGAAGGCGGCCACATACCCTGTCAGGTCGAAGGAGTTGGCACGGGACGAGGCAAAGAGATACTTGCCCGACGACGAAAGCACGCAGACATCAGCACGGTACTGTGTCCACCTATCGGGGATACCTGGAGGGATCAGAGGGTAGTGCTTATGAGTGTAAACGGGCAGACGAGTTGCGGGGTCGATCAGGTACTCGCAAATCCGGTTGCCCTTCTCCATAAGAGCGTAGAGGTAGTTTCCAGTAGGATGTATGGCAACCCAGCGGGGGTGGTCTCGAGCATCAGGACAATCGACAGAACCGACCAGCTCAAGAGAAGGATCGTCTTTGTTGACACGGCGATGGGTCCAGATCTTGTTAGCACGGAGGTCGGCAGAATAAAGGTACTCCTCCTCAGGATCAAAGACCATTCCGTGAATACCCGTGTTAGGCTGGTAAGGGTAGTTTTGAACATTTTCCTTGAGTGCCTTTGTGGTGGAATCGGTGGTGAAGACAGCGCCGTGGCCAGCGTGATCGTAGAAAGGATTGCAGTAGACGGCATAAGGAGGCTTGTTCGCTGCGAGAAGGAAGATGGCACGGGTGTTTGTGGTGGCAAGAGAAGCATTGGCTGTCGAGGTTAGTTTCCAGGATATGGACTGGTCAGATGTGACTTACGATCGTGCTCCATTGGGTGAGAGACTTGGTGAGTTATCGAAGTTGGCGATTCGACGGCGAAGCTGGACCACTTCTTCATAGCAGCACCGTAAATAGCTTTGCGATCATGCTGGGAGTGTAATGTTAGTAAAAGTCTCGCAGAGTGATAAGACGAGCTCACACTAAATGTCATCCATGAAATTGGCTCATCCTTGGGGATCTCGGTCCTCTTCACAAGCTTAAGTGTAAGAGCTTCATCGTCAAAGGCAAAAGTGAAGATAGCACCTGGAGGAGTCCAGGTACCAACCATGAGATGATGAACAGGCATTTTGGCAGCGAAAGGTGTTGCTCGGAGTTTTGAGATGAGTGTAGGTCGCATATAAGCCGAAGCTAGAATTCACGGCAGATCCAATTCAACGATCAATGAAGCATTCCTGAGATTATTGTTGTAGGAGAAAGCAAACGTAACAAAAAAGATTGAGTCGTTATGATGGATGGTAGAGGGGAGAGGCAGGCTTAAACATTTATCCTCAGGGCATAGTGGAGGACCCCGCGGAATTGAGCTATGATGCATGCTCAATACAGTTACGGGTCTGGGGCCGGGGCCGGCTTTGGTACGCGGCAGATGTTGACGGATACGATTTCGGTATTGAACCGATGTTAATGAGTGGGCATCAGTTAGCTTCTACCAATATGAGCATCTTGGAATTTAGTTACTAGCGAAAACTCTTGAAATGATACAATTTGTTAGACGCTCATCATGACACCTGAATCGTATCAACATCCTAGACTCATGATAGCATGACTCTCATGAAAGGTACCAGATCTATCTGCTTGCTGTGTTTCATGAGGTGTAATCGATCTCAATTGGTGCTTAAAATAATTCATATTTGATCAAACGGTTTGTCGACTATTCTTGGGACCTGTTGAACCTACATAAGGTATGAATGGATATCTGGTTGAGCTGGCCCAAGTGCATCTAGAATACCCCGCATTGACTTCCCCGATGTTGATCCCGGCACGAAGCCACTAACGTCCTTCTTTTTTTGTGCTATTTATCTAATATTGGATATTATGTGAAACGAGCTTCTCTCTTCACCCAAAACGATACTATTGAGCAACCATTGAGGAGAAGTCATGATGACATACCCTTGCTCATGACCATGAATTTAATACGAACGCGAGAAAGATGTTACGGCCGCTTGTGTAGCCCGCCGATTCATATAAGCTAAACAACAAACAAGGATGTTCCCAGCTGATGTTTTGAGTAGTCATGGCGATCCTTAGCCTCAAGAGTATGTGCTCATGATATCAGTGTGGTGGAGAGTATACCAACCGACATGTGTTTAGTAGAATGTCTACGTAATATTGGAGTGAAATGCGAACTGAGGGAATAACAACTATAATTTAAATTCGTTTGGAGTCATTGAAATTGGGTCCTTTGACCTGTAAAGCCTGAGCTAATGAAATTGCTGCTTGGCTAGGTAATCGACGCTGTAAGCGACGGCATCACTCGATCGTGAATTGCCCCCCAGCTTCAACGGCCGGCGGAACGGATAACAAAAGAAAATAACTGGCCGACCATTGTTATTATTACTACAAGCAAGCAAATATAGTCTTGTACGACCTATTTTGCCATCGTGCATCATCGTCGTCTGCCATCACTGGTGCGATAAGATAGAGCCCCGTCACCCGGTCAACGGCCGTTTCCCAATAAACAGTCAACGGCTTGTCTACCTAATAGTGCCTTGGCTCAGGCTACCTAAGCGACCTACCTTCTTGCTAGCTCCAGCTCCAGCTTCAGCTTGTCTTCTCAACTTTACCTTGCTTTTATTCTTTCTGCAATGGCGTAGCCCAATTCGCAGTCTTAGTTGGCTTCTTATTCTCAACAGTTGGTGTGAGACTTAGTTTTGTTCCTTACCGGTTTTTTTTACATCTTCATTTCTACCAACATCGTTGTGACGCCCTGGGCGAAAGCTACTTAGCAGCTCTCACATCACCACGGATATCGTGGCTCGACACCATGAATACAAACGACGTAAACAGCTTCGACGCCGGTCGAAGACCACGGCCCAAATCTTCCATCCTCGAGGGCTTCATGCATCGTCGTCAAGCTTCCACTGATACCCATTCATTTCAGGCCCCGTTTGATGGCCCTGTCTCTCCTATACAGCCCAAGATCATGGCTTTTGAGAACTTCTCCAACCCAGGGGCACTGGCGGAGCTACAATACAACCAGCAAGAGTCCTCCGGACGCTTCTCAAGGCGACAAGACCGAGGCCGATCACAGTCCCCGACCAAGAGCAGCTTTGGTAACTTCACCATCATAACAGCACCCGGCAAAGAAGCCAAAGGCTCGAAATCTCGCGATCCCTCGCCCACCAAGCCGAAACGACCAAAGTCAACAACTAACCTGGCTGGTCTGCTCAAGCCCAAGACGCTGCGAAACTTGGGCAGGTTCGGATCCGACGACAATGTCAATTCATCCAAGGACAAGGAAAACAGAACTCCCGAAGAACCTGCAGCGGACCCTGCACCGACACCCATTTATTCTCAGTTTGCCTCTCGACCGAACATCGAATCAGCCCAAAGCACACGCCGTAGTATGGATGAAGCACGGGCACCAAGTGCTCAGGATCTTTATAATGGCAGTCGAGTCGCGGTCAAGGAGCGACCAAAATCATACCATCCCATGCTGGGAAGAATGGAACCACCCCCCTCACCAACCAAGGCACGCACTTCAAATGATTCCCGAAAGGGATCAAAAGACTCAACTGAGGCCAAGAGTAAGAGCGGTCGAGGTAAGGTCTTGAGCGTCTTCACTACATTCAACCATAGCCGATCCAAATCGACATCAGTTGTCCCTGAACCGACCGAGGCAGTACTTGACCCTAAGGATATTGACAAGCATCTTGAAGCCATGTTGGACCGACGAAATATTCCAGAGAACCAGAGGTACAAGATGAGGAACCTGAGCGACACCATCAAGATGGAGTTTATCCGCCAGGACTGGGCCGAATCACAAGCCTCTCGTACAGAGAGATCATGCTCAACAGACAGCGCCAACAGCGGCTTGGTCATGGAAGCCGGCACGCAAAATGAGGAGAAGCAGAAGCGATCACGAGGCAAGAGTTTTACTCTCTCACGAGGAAGAAAGGAATCAAAGGAGCCAAGCTCTCCCATCAAAAAGTCAAAGGGCGAAGGGACATTAGGTCGTCATTTCAGAAGCAAGTCCACCGACAGCGTAGTCAGTGAAGGGCCTCCTGGATCCAGCGGCTCCGTATCCAACTCTGGAATCCTCTCCAAGATTAAGCTCAACCAAGGCCCAGGCGATTATGTGGCCTATCTCAGAAAGGTTCAAAAACCAGAACTTGTCGAGGTCGGCAAAGTTCACAAGCTACGACTGCTTCTCAGGAACGAGACAGTGGCATGGATCGAGGACTTTATTCAGCAAGGCGGCATGAAGGAGATTGTAGGTCTGCTCAACCGCATCATGGAAGTTGAATGGAGGTAAGTCAAATTCAAGATGTTTTCCCACAAACGCGACTAACGATTGATAGGGAGGAGCATGAAGATGCACTGCTCCACGAGAATCTTCTCTGCCTAAAGGCGTTGTCGACGACAGCTCGCGCCATGCAATACCTTCACACGATCCAGAGCGATCTGTTTCCCAAGCTCCTACATATGCTCTTCGACCCAGAGAAGAAGGGCCCCAGCGAGTTTACCACTCGTAACATCATAACATCTGTCTTGTTCACGTATATTGAGTCTGCTGCACCAGCCGAACGGGTCACAAGAGCCCAGAGCATTCTCGCACACCTCAGAGACCCCGAGCCAAAGGAGGATCAGCGCCCATTGCCATTTGTCCTAGAGATGAGACAAGAAAGGCCATACCGCGTTTGGGGCAAGGAGGTTGTTAGCGTCACTAAGGAAGTGTTCTGGATCTTCCTTCACAACGTCAACGTTATATCCCTTCCTTCGGACCGCCCCTCGACGTGTGACCCTGCCCCTGGTTCGTACAGTTACATGCTTCGACATTTCCCTCAAGAGCGCCCCCCGGTCCCAGCAGCACCATATGTGGGCGGAGTCGAATGGGATGCGACCAACTACCTGGCTTCTCATCTCGATCTCATGAACGCCATCTTGGCCTGCACACCGACACAAGAGGAGCGCAACACTCTCCGCGCACAGTTCCGAATTTCGGGATGGGAGCGATGCCTTGGTGGTAGTCTACGACTCTGCAAAGAGAAGTTTTATGGAAGTGTGCATGACGGGCTTCGGACATGGGTCGGAGCGGCGGCCGAGGATGGTTGGGATGTCAAGGATGTGCGATACGGGCCGCCCCCTGACGCTCGGGCTTCACCAAAGAAAACTGGAGGTGGTCAGAAGAAACCGGTCGAGGCGGCGCCAAAGCTTGAGATGCCGAAGCTCGATTTTGGCTTGGATAAGGCATCCACTCCGAGTAAGGAGAAGGACATGTGGCTTTGATGAAATGGCAAATCTTGAAGTGCCAGCATTTGTTTCTTGCATGTATTTCCTTGTTGGTCTGGAGCTAAGGTTGATTGTTGGTTGTTTGGAAGTCATAGTAGAGATCCTACTTTGATGATGGCATGTTAATGAACTGATGACACAAAAAGCTGCATTGTTGACCCATCCATCCGTGCTTCGGGTTACTTGATACAAACTCCTTGTAGATCTCACGTGGTCCCGTGATGGAAAGTTTATGTGACGCCCAGGACCAGCCAGCCACCGTACGCTGTGCCCTTGTTTTCATGGAGACCTTTGTCCAAAGGCCGTAGTCTTGTATTCTTTATGCCCTATGACGGAGCTTGTTCAAAGATTGCTTCGATGAAGCTTGAAGGACTCAAAAACCGTTGCACCTTTGAGCACATCTTCCTTGACCCTTTCATCAGCGGCTGTCAGCTTGGGCAGCAATTCGAGGACCTCGGAAACCTTGTTCTGAGGAATGACCACCACCCCGTTGATTGGATCGCTAAATGCAAGGTCGCCAGGAGAGACGAGGGTTCCATCAATGTCGAGAGGTACCTGGATCGCCCAGGGCACGCTCCCTCCACCGACCCCAACGGTGGACAACCCTCGAGCCCAAATCTGCATTGTACCTCCGAGTTCAGCTTGCTCCAAGAACAGGGTAAATGACACTCACCGGTAAGGAAGTACTCTTTAGTTCCGCTATATCTCTGGCTCGCCCAGCTACAACAATGCCCTTGGCTTGGCACACTTTCATGCGAACTGCCATGATCCCACCACAAACAGCATTCTTTTGACCATCGGGCTGCTTGAGAACCACAATGCTTCCTGGTTCCGTCA